CAAGTGGATATGCAGCTTAAAGTTGGAGTGTTTTCTCAACTACACACGGACCAGATGAGATATAGTGAATCTTGAAGTCTCAAAAAATGAGGAATTTAATTACCTTTCCAACGAGCTAAATGTCATTGAAATGGGGAAAATTATAGCCCAAGAACCGTCGATTTTTTGAAGAAAAACAACTGTAAAAATAGTTTAGGATTTTGAGTAAATTTTAAAAATTGACTAAGACTATAAATCTTTTCAGGAATGGACTTGTGTCCGTAGAAATTTAAAAAAAAATGTCTTAACAGGGTCACGGGGTTTGGGGTTTTGAAATGAGAGAATCGCTGTACTTAGTTGGGGGGAGTGGATGTGAAAGGGGGAATCGTTGCGCTTTTGAAGTGCCGTTATCCCTCAAATTATCAAATGTAACATTTATGAAAAAATCTTTAAAATAAGGGTCAAAAATCTTCTAATATATTCCACAAGTAGTCCTTTTTATTGCAAATGAGTTTAAAAGTCTCAGAAAATCAGTATGGACCCGGCAAAAACCCCACTTCCGTGAAAAGCAAAGTAAAAATTAGGGGTGTCTCAAGTTACCCCATATAACGGGGTAACTTGAGACAACTTTAGAGGCCCATTACTCTCATTTTAGGAGACCCCCAAAAAATTCGTGGGGTCCAAACCGAATGTTATCATGTGAAATAAAACATAGTTGGGATTCGGGTTGGTGAGAGAAGTTTTGCGGACACACGGTCCAAAAAACGTGAATTATTGTCTCAAGTTACCCCGGTTTACGGTAACCTGTGTGTAAGACTTTAGAATGAAGAGGCAAGAAACAGTGAGAAGGATCAACCTTCTACGTCCTCAGTATCATTTCATGCCAACAAGATGAGTCAGAACAAGTCCATTTAGGGGACAAAAATGTAATGAAACTGGCCATATAAAGAGAAACTGTGACAAGTTAAATGGACCAAAACAGTGCTCAGGTGAAAACTAGGCTGTACAGCTGTCACTGTAGTTCAGAGTACAGGATTTACTCTACTTTTTTACAGGATCTACTGTACTTTGTGCGGGATTTACTGTACCACAGGAGTGGAGTGCGGAATAACCTTTACCAGGTACAGTAAATACTGTGTTCTGAACTACAGTAAATCCCGGCAAAAAATTAACGGGATTCACTGTGTTTTTTTCGCACAGTGTACTTAAGCCTGCAGATGAGGCCGCATATCTTCTAGAGACGACCAAAGGCTGGCTCGAGGAAGTGAGGCGCGCAGTTGTAGCCACTGGTATGTAAAGATCTTGTGCTTAAATGCAATGGCTGTTCATTGTAACAATAATCCTATCCTGTTCTTCGTCTTTCAGGCCTGAATAAAGATTTAATGAAACTGCATGTCAATGCATGATGGGAGTCTCACTCCATTAACAGGAGTGGGCACTCGTAAACAGGAATTGGAAAGAAAAAGGATGGAACAGGTCAATGCTCAAAAAATCCAACTGCAACAAACAGCACCACAACTGCAGGCTGATGGGGCAGGTACTTAAATTACCAATCCAAACTCCTGGTCCTTTTGTTGGCACAAATTTGCATAGCCTTGGAATTCTTTTTCTAAGTATGACGATTCTTAGAGATTCATGGTACTTAGATTTATCAATTTGGAAAGTTTCATCAAAGTTTTGCAATAACCTCCCAAATTTCATAACGGACAAGCCCCTTTGCAAATTAATAAATGAAAGCTTCCTGTTTTCTGTCGTTTTTTCCTGCGTAAATTAATCGTTTTCTTTTTAAAATCGATTTAGATGTGGTTTGCGATCAACTTCAACCGGTGATTAAAGAAAAGGCAAAGCGTCCCTACCTGCCAAAAAAAGAAGCCCTGAAGTCATTGAAAGAATTCGAAGACAACTAGACGCGCTGCCATGCTTCACAAATGGCCCATCAAAGGTAAATCGACTCTTTCTGTAAACAATAAGAACCTTTGGTATCATTTTTTGTTTATATTCATTTTACAGAGGGAGTTGTACGATGGGACCAAAATTTTGGGACCAAAACCCAGCAGAACTTGCCTGCCTCTTGTCTCCGACTTAACCGTGTCGTACCAAAATTTCGAGCTCAACGCACTAAAATACTAAAGGAACAGCTGGAAGTTTCGAATGAGAAGGGAGTAGGATAACCTCTATAAACTGATCACTTGTATGCTCCTAGTTCGTTAAAACTTAATTTAGAGCTCCTTCTAGCGGTCGATAGATTGAAATTGTCTAAATTAGACCATCGCTTTGTGACTGCAAGATTGGCAGTATCCGCACTGAAAATTGAATGGCCAGACTGATGGCCAAAATTTGGTGAGACAAAAAAGTCTCGCCATTTATTGGCGAGAAACAAAAGTCTCACCATTTCTTGGCGAGAAACAAATGCCTCGCCAAAATATGGCAATAATTGCAGCCCCACTCTATTTGATACTGGGAAATATATCACAGTCAAGATCACTCCGGTAAACACATCACTAACTGCAGTCTTTCAATTACTCAAGTCGAAAATAATACAGGAAGCTATCACTTTCAGTTATGAAAATATTAATGTAAGGTTATATGATGTGAATTTGGTTTGCGTCAGCAAAGCGTTGCCCAACTATTTACTCTTTTTGTCATCGTTTAAAAAGACATTGGTCCAGTGAGTCAGATCCTAAAAGGTCTCTTTCAGTGTCCATGTAGTTAAAGATAATGTCTTTAATAAGAGGCATAAACAAAGCGACATCCCACGGTAAAAACGGTAACTGGTTTTCCCAGGAGCCCTATGGCGAAGACATAGGCGATTTTCAGGCGGTTCCTGGGAAAACCAGGAACCGGTTTTACCGTGCCATGATGACACAAGTTCTTACTCAGTCCTTTGACTTATTTTAATCCCCAGCTAACCTTGCTGCACTTGGGCATTGTTGGAAGTTCCATGGACAGAACTCGGTTAGTAAACTCGAGGTAAGAAAGTTCCGTGCACTATCTAGCACTCAACGTTTCGCCGTCTCCACTGGACAAAACGCCAAAACACAGCAGCACCGCTTTAAATCGCGAACACAGATATAAGAAAGAAAACATTTTAGTGAACAGACAAACAACACAGCAACAGGACTGCCATGTTGAATTTTATTTGTTGTCCTCGTTGTGTCGTCTGCTACAGTAGCATTTGTTTTGCGGTAGTGCCAACCTGCACTGCCTTCCAGAAGTAATTTTACAAGAAAAGAATAAAATGTATAGGTTAAAGGTTGGCACTTCCGCAAAACAAATGCTACTGTAGCAGACGACACAACGAGGACAAAAAATGAAATTCAACATGGCAGTCCTGTTGCTGTGCTGCTTGTCTGTTCACTAAAATGTTTTCTTTATTATATGGTGTTCGCGAGATTTAAAGTGGTGCTGCTGTACTTTGGCATTTTGTCCAGTGGAGACGGCGAAACGAAGAGTGCTAGATAGTGCACGGAACTTTCTTACCTCGAGTTTATTAACCGAGTTCTGTCCATGGAACTTCCAACAATGCCCAAGTGCAGCAAGGTTAGCTGGGGATTGGAATAAGTCAAAGGAGTGAGTAAGAACTTGTGTCATCATGGATGTCGCTTTGTTTATGCCTCTTATTAAAGACATAATCTTTAACTGAAAGAGACCTTTTAGGATCTGACTCCGGACCAATGTCTTTTTAAACGATGACAAAAAGAGTAAATAGTGGGCAACGCTTTGCTGACGCAAACCAAATTCACATCATATAAACTTACATTAATATTTTCATAACTGAAGTGATAGCTTCCTGTATATTTTCGACTTGAGTAATTGAAAGACTGCAGTAGTGATGTGTTTACCGGAGTGATCTGACTGTGATATATTCCCAGTATCAAATAGAGTGGGGCTGCAATTATTGCCATATTTTGGCGAGACATTTGTTTCTCGCCAAGAAAGGGTGAGACTTTTGTTTCTCGCACCAATGGCGAGATTTTGTTTCTCGCCAAAAATTGGCGAGACTTTTTTTCTTTACCCTAGGATGGAATGAATTCCGTCCTTTGACTTTTCAGTGCGAGGCCGACTCAGGCCGCTGGCAACCGGAAGCTCCCATTGGAGTTGGCTGGGTTGTTCTTCTCAAGTGGCAGTGCCAGAAGACATTCTCAGGCTAGACGGCATCTCCTGTCATAGCAAAAGAGGTTGGGTTGGTAAAATAGCAAAGTACAAGAAAACTGTAGTGTGTAAGTTGATTTTTAATTTTTTGATGCACCTTCTTTTTGGCTGAGCGATAGCGAAGCCCGTTACTCCAGTGCGGTCGAAAAGTTTTGTCTGTCTGTGTGTGTAAACTACTCCTCCTGAACGGCTCGGCCGATCTGGCTGAGATTTTGCAGGCTTATGAGGTATGTTCTTGGCTCGATACACGCGAAATTTCATATCCTAGCTCAAGTGGTTCGGTTTTAAAGGCGAACACACCTAAAAAGTGGCGAAAAATCGAGTTTACTGCAGGCAGATTACTTCTGTCTTGACCCCCCCCCCCAGCCTCGACAGGTTAAAAAGTTACAAGGGTCAAGATCGTGTCATCTGTAGATGAAGCAACTCTATCTAGAGTGAAGGGGGAACCAGCATGCAACAAGTAAGAAGTAACCGACGATGGACGGATATACTTATACGCCCCAGCGCTGGTGCGAACAAGGCCCCTGACGTTATCCGCACCGGGTCAACTCTTGCATCCAAGCCCCTCAAAACTTATGTACACCAGTGATCCCCCTGGAGGGATCCGGCCGGGATCAGCTGGGTCGTATAATATTATTTTAATTAACTACACCAGCTGGTGTCTACAAGCCTGCAAACATTATAAACACCAGCCGGTGCAAATAAGCTCGTTGTACATTATACGCACCAAAATATCCTGCGAAGAGAGAAAACAAAAGAGTGTCGCGACTGCCAAGACCGCTAACACGCCCTCAGTCTGAAAGTGAACCACAGTACCAAGGTGCATCGCTACTCATCCTCATCATGATGTTGTATGTTGGGCAAAAATTCTCCTCCTTTGAGGATTTTATAAATCAGCGAGATGAAGAAAATTATCGGCATTGGGTTGTTGAAAGTGCGACTTCCATTGAACACGCCAATGCAAGGCTCATTGCAGCCAGCGGAGAAGACTTGTATTCACCAGCGCTCAGGTTCAGGCATGTGAAGTTCACCTGTGTACTGGGGGGACACAGCCGTCGCTCAAAAAATACAGTTCAACCGTAAGTATTTTCAGTAAATCTCTGCCCAGTTAAGCAAATCAATAAAACTCATTTTAATACAATACGCCAACCTTCTGTTGAGAAAAGTAGCATCTATAAATAAAAACCAAATCCCAAATCGTATTCTTGTGGAGACAATTATTAACAAAATTAGTTACAACATTTTTTATATATAAAAAATGTAACATTGGTAAAACTGAAGGGTAGTTCTTCGCTTCATACAAGCGTAGAACTATGCTCCAAGACTTTAGCCCTTCTTTGAAGCGTACAACTACTCATGAGCACTTGTACGCTGCAAGAAGGGTGTACAGAAAGTACGCTCCAAGACAGGGGTAATACTACGTCTTAGTTTTACCTGTCAAAAATATTTTACATGACTTTTTTTTCAGGTTGGACAGGTTCACAGTGAGGTGTGGAGCCTTCATCGAATTGTGCGCCAGCAGGACAGAGTTACAAATTGTTGACATTTGTCAATTTCATAACCATGACTAAATTTTAGGTAATTCTTATCCTGTTTTTAATGTTTTCTTTTTTAATCACAACTAATTTTCCTAAGGGAGAAATCGCTCCAATTCTCACTTGAAACTGTTTTATTTTGCAGGTTTTGGTATTTATCACAGATTTACGATCCAGGCCACTTTGATTTAGCTAGGGTTTAAAATTTGAGCGACAGGACTTTTTTTCATGTTATGAGTGTGTTGTGTGATGCTTCTGTAAAATTTCTTTGAATCTGGTGATCGCTGTAGTTGTATGAGGAGCATCATCACTGAAATGTACAACATGATTGATAAATCTGAATAAAAATTTAATGCTGAGTCCAAAAGTGCTTCATTATTGTAGAATAAAATGGTGTAACAATTGGTTCCCCTTAACCCTCTCAATCTTTGAAGGCTCATAAGAAGAGAGTAAGAGCACCATCTCAAGATTAAAGTTTTATCTTGGGTGGAATATTGAAAGAACAAAATACCAAAGAGCTGGAAGATCTGAACACATGAAATTTTACAATTACTTGCTAAAAGATACATAAAATTAGGAAGCAAAGTCAAGATGTTAGAAGAAAACATTTACATGCTTAGTGAACCAGTTAAGAAATTTTAGTGAGCAACATTCATATTTATTAGGCTTGAAACAATTCCACAGTGTGTTTAAGATAAAAGGAGTCGAAACTTATGATGACTGTAGCATGTTCTGCAAGACAATGAGGTTCAAACAAAATGTCACATTCTTTGATGAAGCACTCACATAAAAAACAAACCACATTCACAGATTAATGTTTAAGTTAAATTCAATAAAAATTTAAAAAATTGTGATGATTTACATTTAGAAAATCTATATAAAGACAGTAAAAGAAATGAAGAAAAAAACCTCTTAAAAATGGTTAAGTCAAAAGCTTTACAAGTACTGTAAAATTAAGTGCTCACTGTCAAAACCTGATTGGCACCACCTAAAGTCAACTTTGATAGAATAAAAGACGAAGTTTGAAACACAAAAATAAAATGAATAATATTCACAAAGTAATAAAAGACATTAACTTTAAAAATATGTCAACTAGCTTAACAATGTAGTTTCACATTGAGGGCAAAACCAACCATCTTCTGGCAAGGACTCCTGGCACTTAATGTCCATGCATGTGAAGTGGAAATAATTGTCACATGTGTCACATTGAACCATGTCGCTTAAGCATTCAGGTAGCCTGCATACACAGTAAACTTTGATTGAAGTAGTTTCATCGTCTTCTCTAACTTTTTTGATTCTGGACGGTTGTTTGGGGAATTCACTGAACCATTCCTCTTGCAAACAGTTGAGGAGGTGATCTCTCATTGAGGATGAATCAAAATCAAAATTACCAATGTCTCCGGCATAAAGAAAATTTACAGCATTTGCAATTGCAAACACTCCACAATCAACTGAATTTTCTTGTTGTTTGCATGGTGGTCTAATCAAAGTAAATTCAGATGCAGTAGTTTGAAGGAGCATGGCAGCCTGTATTAGTGTAAAACCAGAGATGGCTGCATGTCTGTTGCTGTCTAAAATGTATACAGTATTGGATCCTGGAAACCAAACAATTCATTTATGACAAGAATCTTAATAAGAAATACATGTTAGTAGAAATCATTGCATACCTCTTTTGATTATAGCAGTAACCCAATGTTGCCTTCCCGTGTTGATTATTTGTACATAATTCTTTTTTCCTGAAGCCTTTGGGTAAAAGTTTAGCGACTCCTTACTGAGGGCTTTGCCATAGTCAACTGGAAGAGGAGCGGAACATCCTTCCAAAACAAGCGCAAACTGATGTAGCAGGATGTTAGAAGCCCTTGTTATGTGCTCGTCGGACAAATAATTAAAATTGACTAAGTCTGTGACCATCAGGCTTGATACTGTATTTTCTGTAATTAAACAAAGCAGTATTTAGCAAAAGCTTTGTAAAGAAATGCTATGAGGGTCAGTGTTATTTCCAAAATCATACCTTTTGCAGCTTTGCAGAGATCACACAGGACTGCATCATTACCGATTGAGTGAGAACACGTTCCACACACAAACCTCAGGCAGCTCTTACAAGTTGCCAGTGACGTTACAAGTGATGTTCTCTTGCAAACTCTGCACTTACAAACATGCTCTTGAGCCTTCATTGATTGGCATCCATTGCAGTAACATTTCCTGCATATTCGTGTATGTTCATCTGGCAGGCCAATTGAAACCGGTTTAGGAATGGAACATTTTGATGTGAAGTGAACCTGACTTTCACATTGGTCACATTTGCCACATTTATCAGTGGTATCCTTTTTGCAGATGGTGCACATATCTGAAATAAAGAGTGAGCTCAATAATCTCGAAGAACATATGACATGCACAGTATTCTATAAATTATGTTATTGCAGTTGCTATAACGTTTGGTCCAAATCAATTTTAATTTCCAAACCATAAAACAGGCTTTATATATCAGTATGACGCCTCTAAATACTCACTGTAATTAACACGAGGCAGAACAGTTGTTAGCCTTCAGTTAAAACATGTATGAGGCAACAAAGGTAAAAGTCCAAACTCTCTCTGGGTTTGTGCATTGATACCAGCATAAATCACTACCAGAAGTTCAAACAAATGATTGAAAAGGTACAATGCATTATCACACAAAAAGTTAAGTGGGATAGAAAATATTTTACTGTTTTGAACCTTTCTTTTTAGATAAAGTAACTAAGATGCAGGATTTAAAAACAGTCATGGTGAGTGCAACGCTCCTTCTGGACATGTACTAATGTTTTGAGACAATTGATGACAGAAATAGTAAAAAAATTATGACAGTTTAATTTTAATGAGAAATGATAAAGAACTAATACTTTGGGCCCACATACATGTCTTGCAACCTGTAAAAGTAATCAATAAAATTAAGACGCTGTCTTGAAGTGCCTAAGATCCCGACTACAGCAAAGTCTGCAACATATGGGTGGATTATGTAAAGGATAATTGTTAGGGTAATGAAGGTCAGGTTAGTTCTTACAGGTCTACATCCCTTACTGAACACAGACTACTTGCACTCAAGAGGAACAAAATAATCGAAATATTACATTGCATGCTTATCCACCAATACTTCTCCCACGATACCCATTTGCAGGCAAGTAACAGAGGAGGTAAAAAAAATAATAAAAAAATACCAATTGCAAATGCACTCTGTCCACCTTCTCCATCATGTGTACCATTGGCATTACTATCAACCATATCTAATGCCCGAACTGCTGTTCCTGAAAGACAAAATTGCATTAAGATATAATTTTATTTGCTTTTTTTATCTAATGATTATTTGGATACAAGTTGTATTCTACCTTTTGGCTTGGAAAAGAAATTGGGCAAGGTAGTCTGGCTCTTCTCAGTAGACTTTACCCATGGAATCCAATTCACCCAACGGCACTTGGGTAGTGAGTCTGGTCTGATTGAAGTAGGACAAGTATAAAATTTCTGCCCATAACTTCTGGCCTGCTTTGATGTACGCCTGCAACAAATGAGCAAAGTTAAAATGGGGAACTAAATTGTTCATAAGAAATCCACTATTTTAGCATCGTAACTTACAGCACAGCCTCCCTGCCACATTCAAAGCAAGCTGAAATATTTAAAAGACAAATGCAAATCAGAAATTCGAACACAATGAAGTACAGTACACAATAAAATAAGGGGTTTAACTCACTTTTCTTTCCTGGCAAAGAGGGGGATGTCAAAGCTGAACTGTTGACCAAAGTACCTTGTGGAGTATTTTTAATGAAACTTTGATTCACAGAACTACGAGGAGTATTATTAGGATGAATAATTGTCAGAGAATTCTGAGGGGTACTATTCCGAGAATTCTGAGGAGTAATATTGCAAGAATTCTGAGGAGTACTATTGCGAGAATTCTGAGGAGTAGTACTCTGATGATTATTTTTCTGAGAACTCCGAGGAGTAGTATTCTGATGAATACTATTCTGAGAACTCTGAGGAGTTGCATTCTGATGAATACTATTCTGAGAACTCTGAGGAGTTGCATTCTGATGAGTACTATTCGGAGATCTCTGAGGAGTTGCATTCTGATGAATACTATTCTGAGAGCTCTGAGGAGTTGCATTCTGACGACTATTATTCTGAGAGTTCTTAGAAGTACCATTCTGAGGGTTCTGAAGACCATTAGTTTGATGAGTGTTGGTCTCAGAGCATTCAGAATGCTGAGAATGCTGAGGAGAACTACTATTCTGAGAATACTGTGGAGAATTATTCCACAAATTCTGAGGAGATATTGCTGGAGAAATTAACGGAGAACAAGGTGGAGTGTCACTAAAATAGAGCTCTGGGTCATCATCATTTTCTGTCAGATCTGCAAACACAGGAGTGACATAAAAAATTAGATCCAAAGAGAATCGCAGAAATTGGAAGCGGAACAAATACAAAGAGAAAGTGGACACACCTATAAATTCAATATCTGCTAGAACTCTTGGCTCAGATTTCAAAGCACGTTCTACACTTGCAATGTCCACTGTGGGAAGCTCAACTTCATGCAAAAATGAAGTGGAAGAGAGGTTTTTATCTATATGATAATAAACAAATGGATTTTTAAACAATGCAATCACTGACTAAATTGATGACTTGAATGAAACCGTTCATACCAACAGCAGAGTGATCCACCCATTCATGGAAATTTCTACATCCCTCACTTATTTTCCTGGAGCACACAACATATTTTCTGCCATAATTTTTCTTTGAGAAGGATGTTCGGCTGAAACAGTAGACAAAACAAGAATTAACAGAAACTCCCAACAATATTGTTACATGTAATGAGTTAATAAGCTTACCAACGAACAGGTCCATGACAACTAGAACACTCATTGACTGAAATAAAAAGACAGATTCAGACCTATCTTGAAATGCATTTTGCTAAGAATATTTAGAAGTGGTTTACCTGGCCTGACTTCATCAACTTCATCTTCGTCTTCAACCTGATTCAAGCCATTCTTCTTCCTGGTGTCCTTCACTTTTCTTTTCCCCTTCACACGACCTTTGACAATTACCTTAGGAGGCAACTGTAATTTCTTCTGCAGCATAGTATCCAACACCAATGGAACATTACCAGCAGTAGCAACAATACCTGTAACATTGTTTCAAAAAGAGAAAAATAGTATATGAAAGCGATAACGGAAGCAATCAAGACAATTTTGTGAAATAATAACAATAAGGTCACCTTTTTCAGACGGTTTGTTAGATTCTGAACCAGCACCTGGTTCAGGAAGTACATCTGTACATAAGCATTTAAATGAATAAGAAAACTCAAAATCAGACTTTAACAAATTACAAGGTCAATGGAAAAAATTTCAGTTTCCTAACACTTGCCTTCATCATCAGTAACACAACTTTCAGTAGTGTTCAAAATATCTGGCACATTGTCTCCCGATACTCCAACTACTGCAGCTTCCTTTCCAGATTTAAAAATGTCTTCCATATTCAACAAAGCGTTCAACCTTCCCTCAAACTGAGCCCCACCACAAGCAGCAATCAATGAACAGATTCGCTTGCAAATGCCATCCGCCATGTTAAAGCGTTCTTCCATGTACATGGGCCTCTTTCTGGTTGGAGCCTTGATAGGTGCAGCTATTATATCCACATTGGAAATTCTTTCATTATTTTTTGATACCTCCATGACAAATGTCCACCGTTGAGGTACCAATTTGTGGTCATAAATTTCAACATCTGAAAAAAAGAAATAAAAAATGTTGTTCCATTTCATAACAAATGAAATGTTTTATAACAATGTATGTTATCACTAAAGCTAATTAGAATGTGACTCACTTTGCAGTCTGCGCTGTCGAAAAATATGAGCACAAGGAAGTTGGAATTTTGTGAAGAACCCACAATCACATGTATCCAACGTTACCTCATGTACATTCTCACTAGGTGGCTCCAGGCTCCTCTCGTATTGGCGCTTCAGCAAATCTCCAACAAAAGGGGTATTTATCTTCAAAATTTCTTGTATTACAGGATCCTTTGAGTATTTGTGATATTTGGTTTTCACCAAGGAGGAGAAGAGCTTGTGGTCATTCTCAATGGTGGAGTTTTTGTTGAGGATGCACAATCGCATAACAACCATTGCCACAGGCAGCTTCTTGTCTACAATCGCCTTAATTTTGCTATTGTGGCTCTCAACCCTTCCAGTAGTCCTCTCACCAAAGGTAAGAGATAAATTTCGCTTGTATTCTGTCCAAATGAGGTCACTGTTGTGCCAATACTTGTCAAAGTACACCATGAATTCACTCTTGGCACCAGCTGCTTTTTGGAGATTAGCATACCCTTTATCGTACTCCTCTTTTGAGAAAGCATACAATAGCTTATGGACCAGCGGTTCCAGTTCTTCCCAAGGGCTGTCGGCTTTCTTCTTAGATCCGGTACGTTTCTGAGCCTCTTTAACATGGTAATCACACAAATGCACCTCTGCATTTGGGAAAACCTTCTTGATTGCAGCAATCTCGCTTTGATCCCTGTCTATCATGACAACTTTAACCTTCTTGTTCAGCTCAGGAAAACCTAAATTCAAGAGATCTAAAGCTGCAGTGACAACCTCTTTCTTCTCACTGATAATAAGAGCGTAGCCCACAGTCCGTCCAGCACCATAACAATCAATGCCTTGGAACACAACAAGAGGCATGTTGTTCTCAGTTAATGAGTATGTTGTATCCATAATCAAAACCTCAGGATACAGTTCATGCGCAGCTTTCATTTCTGATGTCTGGAAGAAGACACTCTGCATCACAAATGAATCTGGATCGTAGGTCACAACAACCTCAGAGTGAGGATCATCTTCTTTAAGTTGATTCAGCTGCGAAAACAGGGCCTCTTCAGGAGTATCAGCTTTCCCCTTAAATTTGGCTCGCCATTTGAGTCTGAAAATACGTTCAGGTTGCATGAATATTATGACAACATTGATCGAAAAACAGTAGTTAAATGAATTACCTTAGATTCTGAATATCTTGGCACGTGGCTTTTATTCCTGCAGACACTAGCACCTCTCTAATTTTATGAGTTTTCACTTCATAGTTGAACAACTTGTTGACCTCATTCAGAGCCTCCTCAGGCGGTTTTTTGAACTCAGAGTAGTGAAGATGAAGCTCTTTTTCTTTAACTAACTCATGGTTCCTGTGAGACTGCTCAAACTTGGTCACAATGTAACACTTCTCATTCAACGAGAAATTGATATTAAATTTGGCGAGGCAGTCCCTCTTAAATGTGCTGGCAACAATACGAAGTGGATGAGCGACGACACATCAAGTTTTGGTTACTGAGACCAATCAAAAGCAAACATACCTTTGATTAGGGCGCTTCTTTGTCCCTTCAACATGCTGGTGTAGTCGAGGTTTGCCATAAAGCTTGCAGGCTATTACAGCATCCTTCCAGTCAAATCCATTTGGTACCTGATGGTCCTGGTCCGCAGTTTGGTTATAATTTTGAGCCTTCGTGCAATTAATAACAGTATACGGAACATGCTGCTCCAATTCAAACTTTCGCTTTGCAGCATTAAATTCTAGTTGAGAATAGAATTTCTTCCCAAGGGTGATGCTACTCATGATGCTACGCTCCCAGCGACTCCCGACATCGAGAACCGCGCTAAAACACAGAGAGGAGAGGACAACAAAAGACAAAACACTTCCCATTTATAACGAAAACAAGAGACAACAACTTAAAGTAAATTCTAAAACGGAAATTTTAACGACAGCGAAATAAGCAGAGCAGACAACAGGCAGATTAGAAAATATAATTTTAGCATAGAAATAAGGGTAAACCATGCTGGAATGCCCCGCAATACTCATCTTAACTTAACCTGGGGCGTATATGATCTGCACTTATTGTTGACACCAGCTGGTGCATCCATACACTTGAAATGTTATATGCCCCAACCTGGCAAGACGGACGACGGACGTTGCGTGTCGCGTGTGTACAAACAGAGACGGCCGGCGTAACGGACGGCGGCACGGCAAGCGCCGTTCTTTTGTTTTCTCTCTTCGCAGGATATTTTGGTGCGTATAATGTACAACGAGCTTATTTGCACCGGCTGGTGTTTATAATGTTTGCAGGCTTGTAGACACCAGCTGGTGTAGTTAATTAAAATAATATTATACGACCCAGCTGATCCCGGCCGGATCCCTCCAGGGGGATCACTGGTGTACATAAGTTTTGAGGGGCTTGGATGCAAGAGTTGACCCGGTGCGGATAACGTCAGGGGCCTTGTTCGCACCAGCGCTGGGGCGTATAAGTATATCCACGATGGACAAGCCAATGCCTGCCGAGGGTAGGGTAGCGCCGCAGGTCAAGGTAGGTACGCCAGGCGCGGATTGGAGGAACAGGCCGCGAGACATCGCGAAGCCTGTTACGACAAGACGCGGTCTGGCGTAAACCTACCTAGTTTTACTTAAAACTAGCAAGATTTGGTTTTTCAGTGGCAGTCAACACCCGGTATCAGAAGGCAGGAGGGTTGATACTCACATTAAGTATGATCCGGATGGGTGATTCCGTGCGTAGGGGCCGTTTTAGCCACCCAAGAAAGTCAAGTAATCAATCTTGCTTGTTCGGCCGGAATTTGGCCTAGATAGCATCAATTGAACCCCAGGAAGACACTCTGAGCGTGGGCGAGCTAAAAGTTGACTTTCGTTTTTCCCCCTATAAAATATGACGAAATTAACTGAAAATATGACGAAAATTACGCTTCACGGAAATTACAAACAGGTGTTTCTGGCTCACTGCAACTGCATATCGCCACAGAAATATGCCATAGGTTTTGCACACTAGTTCGACGTCAAGACACATCTTTTCACGTGTAGGATGTCTTTCAAAACCCAATAGACCCAATAGAGCGAGAGGGGCATACGGAAACTACACCAATTGTTACAACCCACCGATTTCACACACAACTTCCACTCGCACACTCACCCCCCTCACTTTTTCGCCACCGAAATTCGTTCATAACAGACCGTGCTGATTCTGAATACGGCGGTGGTTTTGAGCAGGAAGCACTCCTAGTAGTTTTTTTGGTGCTTACTTTGAAACCGCTAAGGTAAAAGTCGGAGTACGGTGGACATTTAGTACGCGTTCTGAAAGTACAGTTCCAATCAATATACTATCTTCAAATTCAAGCAAGATAGTCACTATTAGTTAAAGATTTGATGGGTGTGTGTGGAATTCGAAGATTTGAATGGAACGCAGGGTTATAGAGCCGCAAAGTTGGTGTAAGATGCGAATGGACATGACGGAACTTACAAAATCGACCCTTTTGGCCCCTCTCCTGCGTCACATGTTAGCTTTGAAAGTCCGTATACAAAGGGAACAAGCTATTCTAGTGCCAAACAAGATTCTTAAGTGTATAAATGGACTCCACTCGAATAAGTTCGCTCTGGGGAGGGTGTGGACACGAAAACGCCCTCTACGCGCGGAATCACCCGGATACCTGATTGATGCTACACTGTAAAAAAAGTATTACTGAAATTTCATAATTTTAGTCTGAAGTTTTTAAACAGACTAGTGGTCTGAAAATTCAGAGTAATTATTCAGACCATTCTGTCTGAATTCCAAATTCAGACTACTTGTCTGAAAAACATTTTCAGACTGCTACTCTGAAATATTAAATAAAAGTGCCATCTATAAATCAAAGAGAAAGAAATCAACAAGAGAACGATATGAACACCAATGTGTGACGGTACCTCCTTTCCACTTTTCACTTGTTCGCTTCGGCCCGGGTTCGAACCGGGACTTTTAGGTTACGAGACGAGCTCGGTACCACTGCGCTACGGGCGCTGCCTGGCGGCGGAGGAAGCCGTGCCGCGTGACTCTCTTCAGAGGATACCAGCGCCTTTCGGCAAGTCCAGAATGCAAGTTCGGACAACTCTTACCGTTATTCTACCGTACACAGACGAATCTGCGTGAAGCACGGGTGTACATTATTATTTCCGATAAATTTATACAACGCCTTACGCCTAGACTTGATTGGTAAACAATCTGTCAAAATTTTCATACCAAAATTATGAAAACAGGTTTCCGGATGACAAGTCTGAAATCTTTATCAGAATTTTTAGACCTTCTGCTTAAAATTCAGACTAACCGGTGTGATCTCAAATTTCAGAGTTCCTAGTCTGAAAATTCAAAGCAACTTTCTGAAACCGATAGATGCAAAGTCGAACAAAACAAATTTTCAAATTTTTTTACATGCAGTGTCAAAGTGCACGCTTACATCTTACGTTTTTTCGGCGAAACATTTTTTCCCGAAGGACGCCAACCAACCCTAATACGACAATTCAAAAGGGAGCGGGTTTTTAAAGTTCGCATGTTTCCAATATTCGTGCTTTGCAACGAAGGAGGGGGGGACGAGACACAGCGTAAACGCATGTTTTGATTTCAGGTAGTTACGAGGGTGAACGCCAGGCGTGTTGCAAACTCCAGCGTGGGCCTTTACCACGGTCGGCGCGAATGCCTTCAGTTTTTGGCTGCAATCCTCCCCAAACCTTGGAGGACAGCATGGTGAGGGGGGTTTTTTTTAAGGGTAAAAGTGCGTTTTAAAAACTGAAAAATTTTTATTTAAAAAATATAGCTTAAAGTAATAAAACTTTGATGCTAAGGGTCTTTTAAATTACACATTTGAAAAATTTTTAACGTCCCAAAAATTTTTGGATCCGGAAAATGGTTTTCTTTCCAAAAAGTGGGGGAAAACCTTGCAAATTTTCTTTCTCATATCCCATCAACTTGGCAAACCCGGCGATTAAGAAACTCGAAAAAGAGCATTCAAAACCCTTTATTTGGGAATTAATTTGATCATAAGCTAAAAAGGGGACCTAAAAAAATTTGAAAGGGAAATTCAGAAGTCACAAAATGCAAACCCAAAGTGGCGTTCAATCCACTGCCACAAACATGCTCCACAGCTCTTCCTTCTGCACTCTGCAGCTGTTCCTGTCGTGACGGCAAAACGAACCGAACGCGGTGTGTCGGATCAGCACCATCCGCTTCAGTTTCCTCAGACCGCAGCGCCGGAGCTCCAGCGCCAAGTCAGGGCAGCCGTAGGGCTCAGTCGACGCAGCCACCAGCTGCAGGTTCTCCAGGGACTGGGCGTGCGCGCGCGCCAGGGCCAGCGCGGTCGCCAGCGGGTACACGCCGCAGCGCAACAGCCGCAGCCCCGCGGGGTTGGCGGGGAACTCCATCACCGGCAGAGGGAGGTGGTGCGAGCAGTGCAGCTCCAGGCTTTGCAGCGACGCCATCTGCACACACTAAATTTCTATGTAGCGTCTTGCGCATCAGCTTTGAACAAAAATGTATCTACGTTTCAGGGAACACGAGTTTGTGCGGAACAAAGTCGAGGGGTGACCCACTGTAAAGTAATGTGTACAATGATTGGGTGAATGTGCAAGATTTCTGGCGGTTTTGCCACACATGTTGGCTACTCACAGGCGTTTTTGCCACCTGAACGTGGAATGTGATCAAATTTTGCACCACGAATGTGGAAAGCTGTTCCCCCCTCCAACAAGGTAATGAAGTGTGCGTCGTTGTGCATGAATTCGCGGGTTCAGGTGCATGCTCAATTAAGTGCAAATGCAATGCACTAAAACACTTCGAAGTGATTTAAATTTAGTGTGTGCAGTCGGCCAGAAGACCGCAGGAGATGGTCGAAATCCCGGACGCGGAATCCCGGTTGACCTTCAGAGTACTACTTAGCTTCATGGGGCTCGAACCGAACGGGAGACCTCAAACGAGGAATCCACTAATGGGGTAACACGTGTGGTTCGAGTCCTGTTTCGCGACTCTGGAGATCAAAACACGTCCAGATTTTTGACCACCTGCGCGCTCTTCTGGCCCACTGAAATCTAGTAGCTTACCGAGCGAACTTGCCGCATCTCCGTCTCCGTGACGGAGGTGAGGCACAGGGTGCGCAGTGCCGGCATGGCCGCCACCACGTCCAGGTGTCTCGCCAGGGGGCTCCGGATGTGCAGGCCCGTCAGGTGGGGCGAAGTCTGCTCCAGCACCCGCTGCACGAACTGGGGGAACGGCTGGGAAGTGCAGACGATGGAGCGCACCTGCGGAAGACTGGCTGATGATACTTGATTCACACTAAATGTTATGTACAATTTCGTACGAGACATCACAGTTTTTCGTGCACACGAATTTTGCGTACAATTTTCGTACGAAAAACTGCACATTTTCCGCCATTTTAGTACAAATTTGTGCGAAAAGTTCGTGTGCACATAAAACTGTGATGTTTTGTACAAAATTTGTACAAAACCATGTAGTGAGTTCATCGGTCAGATGACCCTTCATCACCGAGTAATGAAACGACATGTGTTAAAAAAAGGCACGTTCCTTACAGCATTATGTCACATTCGTTTGAATGTGATGGGCTGATGCACATCAGAACGAATGAGGCACAATACTCCAAAAGAACGTGACAATTTATCACATTCGTTTCAACGCGATGTCACGTTCCTGTAATGACAGTGCGTTGATCGAACATCATGACTTCGGTGCCTACGAAATATAAACTAGTGTAATGTTCCCCCGCAAAACTGAGTACTCTGTACACGATTTCTTGGAGTGTTTCCTTCCTCGAATAAGGCTGTCGAGCTCTACCACGAAAACGGCCATACCTGTGCAAGACTGCCGTCCGCCAATTTCTTGGACATATTGTTTAGGTTTGACTCCGCAGTTATTGGCGCTAAATCCAAGCAATTGTCGCCTCCCTGTAACCCAACGAGCGAGGCCTGTAACACAGGAGAAGGGTTAGCGTCAAAGGTGCGAAAATTTCAGCTAGAATAAAAAAGAGTAATAACGGAAGGAGAATTAAATTAATTTGATACAAAACAATACACTGAGAATGAAAAAGTCACCACCACCACCACCACCTTGACACGTATTTTTGCTCTTTCTGGTTTGAGAAGTAGTGTGGTTCGATGCAGGCGTCATGGGATGGTGCGTTGACTCACCAGGGGTGCAGGCGCCAGGAGCCGGAGGTGGTACTTGCCGTCGCGGCCCATGCGGAACCACAGGCTGCCCGTGCCCGAGGAGCAGTCCCAGTGTACGGCCACATCGCTGTCCGCGTGCATGTGGGTGACGGTGCCGGGCCGCTGGAAGGGGCCGTCGTAGTTCCAGCCCCGCTCCCAGTCCCTGCCCCGCGCCACTCGGCAGCCCACCGCCATGGCGGCCGCCATCTCCCTGTAGGACATCTGGCGCTCCCCCTCGTTCGGGCGCTCGTGCCAGGCTGCGGCAGAACCGTTGCAAGACCGGTCAGGACAGGGCAGTGGAGAAAATACACGGAAAGACTCGATCCTGGACCTTCCAGGACCGTCCTGGTTTTCCTAAGTATTAAGCCTGGAAGAATCCTGGAAGATCCAGGACAGAGTGTTTACCGTGTAGGGAGTGGAAAACTGCAAGAAAGACAAGACAGTCTTGGATCTAGTGCACTGTAAACAATATGTTGTGAATTTACGACGGAACTTTTTGCGAAGGTTGTCTTGAGTATGTGCCCTCAAATATGAAATTTCAATATTTTACTGAGACTACAGAAATCTCACAAGAAAAGAAGATTTTAACCAGAATTTCGCTGAGATTTTAAATGCTATGAACATAGCACAAGCTAGTGTATGGGAATGTGATTCCACTTTATGTGCAATGCAAGAGCATTGCACTAATTGAGGTTGCACTCATAGCGTTTGGATTCTCAGAGTTCGTCGATTGGACCGGGATTGGACAAGCCTTTCCTTGCAAAGATGGAGCTTGACTGAGACTCCAGACTTGCGTTGCATTGCAATGACTCACCCGCTGCCTGCTGCTCCTGAGGCTGTGTCTCCGGCGGTTGCTGCGTCAGGTGGCCGTCGCACCCGAGCATGCACAGCACCAGCTTGACTCCGGCGTTGTCGGCGGGCGGCACTTCGGCGCGCCACTCCACTGCACCCGCAGCGCCGCGCCGCAGCGTCACGCTGCAAACGGCTGCCGGGTCGGCCAGGTCGAGCACTAGCCTGGCCGCGGTCCGGGCCAAGTCTGCGGGCACAAAGGAAGCACTTCGTTCACTCTCATCCAACAGTCGACATTTTAGCAATATTCATGGACGTTTGAGTGCATTAACAGAGTTTTAGGAAGGCTTTGTTGACACAAAATTGACAACAATGTTAGTACGCTTATTGATGCGCACAAACGTTGATACGATATGTAACACAAATTCAGAACGAGTCTGGGAGTGTTGCGGCAGACGGCCAGAGCTCTCCAAATTGCTGTTGTAGACCGACCGACGAGGTCGAGACAGCGGTCTCTGGCCTCTGGCACAGGCCGCAGCGCCCAGCTCGGTCGCGGCCTCAGAGGCCGACCGAGGCGGTCTCCGTGCGGCCTGCACAGGCCGCCTGCTTGTCAGCCAATCAGATTTGCGTACATCCATGGAGGCACAACCCAGCGAGGTGGCGCCCTCAGACTGAGCAGTCAGTTCCGGCGCTGCACGCCCTGCCGGCTGGCGGTCTGCAGAGACCGCGCCGCGGCCTCGGCGGTCGGTCTCGGAGGCGATTTTTGAGAGCTCTGCAGACGGCCGGCTTCTAGACGCGAACGGAGGACTCGAACGGAAATTGTGATCGCACCAATGGATTCCTCGTTCGGAGACCAATCCATTGGTGGGGGTCTTAGGTTCGGTCCGAGTCCCATTTAGCGACTCTGGAGCTCAAAACGCGTCTAGAATTTTAACCACCTCCACCGCACAATGATCCAGAAATCTCAAAACGCGGAAAAAAATCCTGCGGTGGCCAGATTGGTAGAAAATAGTTCTGAACTGTGTGTTGTTACTAAAATAAGTATTTTAGGTCGGTATTGAGGCCGTTTTCGAAAAGGCACTTAAAAACTCTTTAGGAACTGAAATTTCGACGCTTTTTCATGCAGTTTGTCACATGTTTCCTTTAGAAGGAGATGTCCTACAGGGCTCGTCTTAGGCTCAAACGAAAGCTCATAAAATTCCGCATTTTTCGACACCCCAGCCGTAACGCTAGCATGCTTATATCTTGTGCATTGCTTCAAAACAGTTCAAATTTTTATATTTTTCTACATTAAATGACTCAGAAATTTTTAATTACTTGTCGGAGCATACAAAATGTGTTGGCCTTTGATTATTTTTTTACAAGGAATCGAATGGTGTATCTGGAAGTCGGTTACCAGCAACAGGAAAGAAGTTATTAGACATTTTCCGGACTTTCAAAAATTTTGGGGCGATA